AATTCATTTCAAAGAACAAAACTCTGGCAACTTGATTCAGAAATAATTGCAAAAGAACATGATTCATACTCTAAAAGCAACTTTAAAAAAGAGTTTCTAAATCGATGATTCTTATTTGAAGTAATATGGCTAAGGTTGAAACACATATATAATATACATCTGTTGCTATACGTTGCTTTAAAATTCAGTTGGATCTGATATCTCTAGTTCTGTGCCTGCAGGATTCAACCTACTGTTCCAGCACATGGGCCTATTTTGCTTAAAGGTATTAGGTGTACTTAATAATGAATGTTCTTGATCACTTTCAACAACAGAATTTCATGTCATTGGAAGAATATATGTATTTTTTGGTAGTATAACCCACAGGCTGATGTCACTCTTTTCTTACTATACTTTAATGATGAAAATTACAAGTAATTAAAAAGATTCATTCATGCCCACAAAAACATACTGCTTTGTTTAATATTAACAGATGTTTTTTATAGGCTTTAAAAGTACTGGTGTGTGCTTAAGAATTAAAATTATTTAATTTTAATTTAATTATTTAATTCCCATGCACTATACTAGAAAGTTCTGCTCTAATTTAAGACTTTTCAAAAAAATTTCAGACTTTTTAATAAATATGTGTTCCTTAGCTTCTCTCCAATAGCCCTCTCTGACCATAGCCCTATCTAATTAGAACAGGATGTTGATCTCTTGCATAGCTATACCTTATGGAGTGGTGGTAACTGCTCTTCTTAGAAGGAAACAGTTCCCATGACTATTAAGGCCTGCTTCTATGTGCTTCTCCATGAAAAATTTAACAAAACAGAAAATTCAAAATATATATATTAAAAATTTTATAATTTTGTTCTTGATAGTGCTTCTTTTTAACATGGCTTAGTTTATACTAACTTAAAGTGCTTAAATATGTAGAAACATCATTATGAGTTACACCTCAATCAGCTCTTCCATAAAAGTAATTTCTTTCATATCTTAAATCTATGTTTTTCATTTTCACTTTTTTATGGAATAGTTTTAGACCTTTGGTTTTATTGATTTTTGTCTTTTACTTGGTATATGTTGGTATTTCTTTTGGCTTCAAATAAATTTAAAATATTTCCCAATAAAACCATCTCACCAAATGACAAAGTATGAACTTGGGAGAGAACTTTAATTTTAACTATCTTCCATTTCATTTTGAAACTTCTAAATTGGTCATTGAAGTTCTTCTTCATGGCATCTGGTAATGGGAAAAGGCTTCTAAAATTTATATCTGTGCTCATACCTGCCTTGAAAACTAATTTGTGCCTCTAATAAATATTAAGGATAGAAAAGACCAAAATTTCATCAGTAAATGAAAGTAGTTACTTTTTCTCATAGTTAAGAAGCATAGTCAATTTAATCATGGTTGATTAGACTCAAGTTAACTATATGCAATCTTTATTATGTTCAATAGATTTTTAAAACCAAAATACCCTATTTGTACTTTTAAACACTTTAAAATTAGTCCAACATTTTTTTCTGTATAAATTCCATTAAATTCCTTTATTAATATTTCTTTTTTTGAATCTATATTACCCAAAGAACAATACAGGCTGCCTTAACTTTGTATACTTAGCATGTTACAATGAAACAAACTTGTCTAATCTCTAAATAGATGCTGCTAGCTTAGTGCTTCTGAAATTGTCTTTTGTGTACTATTAAGGTAACTGAAATTCCATTTCATGGATGTTCTAAGCTCTTTTGAGTCCTTTATCTGTATTTTTTCTTGAGCACATTGCAGATTACAACAGTTTTGTCTCGTCATTATATACTCATATCTCCTGATGTTTCATTACAGAAAAATCCTATTCAGCCTGAAATCTAATAGTAGGAAATTTCATTTACAGTATTTATGTTTAAAATAACTCTCATTTTAGAACACTGGGATCCTCTTAAGACTTTTACTCCCTACCTCCAATAAATTGTGCAACTAGCAACTAAATGACACATATTTAGGTACAAATTGAGGCCTTTAATGGATATAAATTACGTGACTGGCTTATGTTTTAAGGAAAATATCAAGATTTAGTTCATAAGGATCTTTTCTCCCTGATTCAGTTTCAAAGAATGAAGAACTGATATCATGGAAGCTTCTGTGCGCATATGCAGGAGAGTGTACACTCATATTCATTACATGTCCAACAATCCTATTTCTGTGACCAGGTCCTGCCTTCCATCACTTAAGGATATGGCTTCAAAAATATATTTTTGAAGAATTAGGCCCCGAGATGTGGTTCTGGGGAAGCAAAATAAAAGGCTAAATGCAGTCAATTGTTGTTTATGTGGCAGGGAACAGACTGATGGGATTTTACATTATCTGTATTTAAGGCTCAGTAAAGACCTGGACTGACCACCTCCCTCTCCCACTTAGCTTATAAATCAACCAGCAGTTGGACCCAGATTTCCTTCAGAGAGGGATACAGGAGCCGAGTTGGTCACAACTCAATTTGGCTGTGTCTAGGGGTATGTGAGGTGATGGTGTCTCTGGAGCTCTCAACCCAGAACCCTCTCTTATTCACTAGACACCAAGGAAATCTAGCTCCAAGACTCCTCCTTTCCTCCCAGTTGTAGTTATTGGTGGTGCAGTACTGTGGTGGTAGCAAGCAGACTTACCCAGTTCAGTCTTTCCTTGTAAAAAGTTAAGCGACCCTTACATATTTACAAGTTGACTTCATTTTTTTCCATGGAGTCATTGAGAACCTATTCCTGGTGCCATAACAGATTACACAAGAGGTATATATACTAATGTATGCATTTGTAAGAGCAGTGACATGTGCCTTACTAATACCTTGTCCTTTCACAGTGCTGGAGACATGAAAACCAATGAGAACTTTTGGACTCAAGAAAATATGTAACAAATGTCACTCCATACTCAAGGTCAATAGATATGCTGGACACACACCTAAGTTTCTAAAAAAAGCCAGGGTTTTTCACACAACTGATGCATTTTTGTTATGCACTCTGAATATGTCTGAACATTTTATTAAAAGATATACTAAGTGAAGATGGTGGATTGTCCAGGTCCAATTCATCAGCATAAAAGTGATTATAGATAATATAAATCAGACTCATTTTTATCTTAGATGTTTCTTCACTTTTATGCAGTTACAGTGAATAGTATTACTGGAATTGGCTATTAAGAGTGGTGGCTACAAATTCAAAGAATAATTGATTATAATATTCAGATTCATTGAATTTCTAATCATCTCCTTTATAGGAGCTATTCAAGGACTTCTAATTGAATTTATGACCTTGTACTGAAATCATATCACAAAACTCTTTATGTTTACTCGCATAAGCCTAGTTATTTTACCCTTATATTTATTTTTCCTTCATTTCTTTGGTACTCTAAGGAGAGATGACTTATTTAAGAAGTTAATTAACTAATGCAAAATTTACTCCTATTATCTTCATATTTAATTAAGATTTCTTATTTATGTCATCGCCTTAGCAAGGACTACAAGTATTCCTGAATGTCAGCCTCTTATCTATTTCCCTCAGCTTTTAAACATAATAAAGTGCCTGGATTCTTTATTCAGTATTTCAGATCTCCTTTCTTTCATGTCACAAAAGATAAATGCACATGGCTGCACTGACAACATCACAGCTTTGAAAATGCGTCCACCCGTTACCTTATAAATAGTTCAGTCACTTACTTTAATCCATCTTCTTCTGGCCATCACTCTAATGTCAAACTTACAAGTTTAAGAATGCACTTTTCTCAACTTCTAGTTTTAAAGCAAGAGCACAAAATTCTATTCTCTTCACTAACACAAACTCACAGAGGTAACATTTGGACTGACAAGATGTCAATCAGTAAGCATTGTCATTTAAGAATATGTGATAGTGGTGCCCTGGCATTTTTATTTTGATGAACATAACAATGGTGAAAGTCTACCCCTCCTAGGATGTGCACAGGTGAAAAGGCCTCGGTACTGACCTTCCATTTCACTTCTCTCTGTATTTTCAACATTTTGGTATAATCATCCATGATCTCTACTTTTTACATAGTTCTGGTAGTTCAATACCTTCTCCCTGCAAGTATGCGTATGTATGTATGTGTGTGGTTTGTCTGTTTTATTTATCCTAGCCAGTTTTTATTTTTTTAATAGCGACTTTTCAGAGCCCATAGCTTTGAGTTTATTAAAATTCAGAGCAGCACTAAAACAAAAGGAATACACATAACACCCACAGAGTTTCTGGAAAGACTGTAGAGTCTCTGGGGGTCATAAAACTTGAAGGAAAAATATTTTGATATCTATTCAGGATCTAGGACCTGACTTGAGAAGTCTTTAAGTTGCCCTAAAGTTAATAGAAGATTATTAAATAAAATGAAAACAGGTACTAAAAATGTTGATGTATGAATTTTATCATTTGACCAAATCCTCTCTTTTGAAGGATTATTATTATCTCATAATTAGGGATTGTTGGTTTGTGGACTTCTATAGGTTGCATATAAGAAATTTGTATCCAACACTCAATATTATCTCTTTCTAAGACTAACAGAACACTTATCTTTACTCTTCAATCCATAAGTTTCTTTGCACTCGTGAGGCTCCCCTGCTGCAAACCAGAGATGAGGTTGGGAGTTACAGTGTAGATTCTATTTACAAAATAGCTGTTTCAGCTAATAGATTTAATTTGCATTCCCCTGTCTCCCAGTATGGAGTTCTAACCCACGTATGATTCATTCTAAATCAACATTCTGGACTAGAATTAATATTTCTTAATACTAATTTAAAAAGTAAGATAAGTTTTGCAGCTTGAAAATCACAAGTCTTTTCTGGCCAATGTCATCGTAAACCACACAATGGCAGTTACACGCTTTTTCATTTAAAAATTCCATATCTCAAATCAATTTTGTCCCAAAAGTCCACCATAAAAAAATCAATGCAATTTAACTTTTCTTTTAAATAACAAATACATAGTTGAACATTTATTTGTTAACATAGAAAGACAATAACAATTGTACTCACATGGCACTGTGCGGAGGTAGAGGTTGTCACGGATGATTTGCTGAAGTTCGTGGTCCACAGAACCCTTCTGAAATCGTAAGTTGAGGTAGTGACGAAGATCCTTATCAACAATTCCTCCTAGAATGATAAAGTTTCTTAATGAAGGATGTTGGAAAATATTTTAAGTAGGTAATTTGACTCTGTCTTAAATATAGTCATGAACTCATTTAAAGATTTATTTATTTACGAGAGAGAGAGAGAGAGAGAGAGAGAGAGAGAACATAGGGCGGGGGGGAGGGAGAGAAAATCGTAAGCAGACTCCACACTGAGCACAGAGCCTGAAGTGGGGGCTTGATCTCTCTACCTGAGCTGAAACCATGAGTTGGGTGCTCAACCAACTGCGCCACCCAGGAGCCCCTCATGAACCCCTTTAAACCTTACCTCTATAATAATAAAATATAACATTTACTGAGATAATTGTCAGGTCTGTGCTCAGTGTTTTATAATGCATTCTTTAAATTATTTTTCATTTAGAATGAAGTCTATATTATGGCAAAAGATATGTGTCATATAGTACATCTCATTGCATGGCTAAAAAAAGACTACTCCCCTTCACCTCCATTGTCCCTTTCCCTCCCACCCTCTGGCGGACACCATTCTACTTTCTTTCTCTATGAATTTGACTACTATAGGTATATCATATAAGAGGAATCATGTAAGACTTGCCCTTTGGTGACTGGCTTATTTCATTCTGTATGTATTAAAGGTTTGAGAAGACTTTTAACTTATTCAGTCACTATGGATTTAGATAAAGTAGGGTGATATGAAAAGTTAAAAAAAAAGCCTACACAAATATTAATGCTTTCTCCCTTTATATAATAAATCAAAGTAAATTTCTATGTGCAGATATTTTTAACTTGGGACAAGTTTTGAAAAAATTGAGATTTTTTTCTTTTATTATTATAGTTTTAAAAATTATTATTGTTGTTATTATTATAGAAATAATTTTAAGCCTATTTGCCATTATAACCTAATGAAAAATAAACTGGGCTATAGGTAAGAAAACTTACTCTGTGGATCTATCAAAGATTAATTTCATTTTAAAAAATAATTATTCTACATTATTATCTCATTTTATTTTTTATTTAAGTAGACTCCATGCCCAGCATGGAACCCATGCAGGGCTCGAACTCATGACCCTGAGATCAAAACGTGAGCTGAAACCAAGAGTTGGATGCTTAACTGACTGAGCCACTCAGGTGCCCCAGTGATGCTAAATAATGATTTATCTGAGGCCCTTCTTATTTTATACTTAAAAGAAATCAAAATACCTATAAAAATATAAATAAGAATTCCTGAAATGTTTATCTTTTCAAACCTATTAGGTAATTGAACCAAGACAAAAAATTAAAGATAGATTAGGAAATCTATAATAGTCACATAAATCATAGTTTCTTCAAGTCCTTTTGAATCCCCAAATTACAATTCATCAATGTATTTGTACCACTATGACCATGTAAAATAGCATTCTGTGAGTGTGCATAAGCACCTCTTACGCAGTTAATATATTTGCAAACTACATATTGCAACATTTCTGAAGTTTCTGAATCCATTGTTTCAGTTGCCTCATAACCTGCTCAAAGAGCCTCAGTAAGATGCCATAAGAAATAATGCTTTTAACTGAACTATCAAAATTCTTCCAAACACAGGTTCTCATATATTTAACTAAATAATCACAGTCTATCTTTCTTCCACCCAATATCATATGATAGCAGAAAACAAATGACATCAAAGGAAAACATACTGCTTTTTGAGCACACATAAATACTATATCCAGAATGCTTGTACATATAATTTTCCAAATTCAAAACAATTTTCTTAGTCAAAGAAGCAGAGCAGTCTGATAGGAAACTCACTTAAAACTACCATCACACTTATCAACAATTATCTATTATTTATACCTCCAAACATCCTCCATTTCCATGTGTCTTGGACTTCCTGACATCTCTCTCCGAAGTAGTTAATAATTAGAAATCCTGAAATTCTGTCTTTCTCCCTTGGTCTTTTCCAGTCAACGGATCATGTCTACCCTTGCTGTTAATTCATTACAGCCACAGAGCAAGCATCCTGCCTGCGTGTTCTCAGCTGTCATGTCTGCAGAGTTGTAAGTGTATAGGTCCTTCAGCAACTGCACCCCAGCTTTCTTCTCTTTTTCTTTCTGTCTAATATGTGGGACATGCCAAGTGATGAGATGATTTCTGGCAGCTCCAGCAAATGCTAACTATAGAACAACAGATATAGTCTGTCCACTAAAGTAAGCTAGAATCACTCACCTAATGCAACATGGATAAACTCACATTTTGTAGTCCAGGATGATTTTTGCCCCTGAAAATAAATGATCAGTTTAAACTATTCTTTGACTACAAATATACATTAGCCTCTCCAAAGTTAGCCTATGTAAGGAAACAACAAAAGGCAGTCTATGGGGCAGCCTGGGTGGCTCAGCAGTTTAGCTCCGCCTTCAGCCCAGGGCCTGATCCTGGAGACCGGGGATCGAGTCCCCACATCAAGCTCCCTGCTTGGAGCCTGTTTCTCCCTCTGCCTGTGTCTCTGCCTCTCTCTGTGTGTCTCATGAATAAATAAATAAAATCTTAAAAAAATAAAGGCTGTCCATTCAGTGACTGTTTTTCCCCCCATGGAATAGCCTGCTGAAGTTTCTGATAATTATTTAAAAATCCCTTCCAGAAAAAAAAAGTAAATAAGTAAATAAATAAGTAAGTAAGTAAGTAAGTAAGTAAGTAAACAAATATTTCTGCCACTAATTAAAATGAAAGACACAATGATCACAATTATTTTGGAAGGACTTCTCTTGCCTCATATGTCACAAATACTTTATTAGTCTTCACAATTTATCATAGCATCTTTCAAGTAAGGCAATTTTATTTATTCTTGTTATGGAGAATTCTGCTACTTGCCTTCCCAGTATTCTTTCCTCTATTCTTTTTTTTTTTTTTTTTTTTGAGAACCCTGACTTAGTTTCAGACCCAAACATGCTCTGCTTCAGACCTAGGTCACATGGTCTGAAATAGGTCTTCACATAGGTCACAGTGGTCTGAAACAGTCATATGATCTAGTTCCTCACTTTCCTAACTGCCCTTTCAGCTTCCAGCAGCTGTGTTCCAGCCATTGAGAACTCACAGAGAAGGAGGGTATCTCTTTCTTCACTGAATTAGATATCTGAGATGGAGCAGCCATATCCTGACCACAAAGTGACAAGCACAAGGGAAAAATCCTACATGCTTAGGAGATTGGAGAAGTTAGAAACAACCTGGGTCCCTGATGGCTTCAATGAGCAGCTAAAACAACATCAGTAACTACATACCTTTAGATTTCTTGTTATATGAGAAAAAGCATATATTTATTTTCTAAAACTATTGTGGTTTTCTGTTATCTGCAACTCTACATGATCCCAATGGCTAAATCTGTATGTATAGAACTGTTTTATATATATACATATATAAAGAAAGAGAGAGAGGAATGTATGTACACACACACACACACACACACACACACTTAAAGGCACATTTTTCCTTAATTAGCACTTTAAATTAGAGAAGAATTAAGTAATAGGCAGTGGGCAATGGCTGAGCTAAAAAACAGCTCTTGGATCTCAAGACTACTTGACTTCAAGTATTTATTTATTTATTCCAGATTTTATTTATTTATTTATTTATTTATTTATTTATTTATTTATTTATTTATTTATGAGAGACACCGAAAGAGAGGCAGAGACATGGGCAGAGGGAGGAGAAGGGGGCTCCATGCAAGGAGCACAATGTGGGACTCGATCCCAGGAATCCTGGATCACACTGAGCCAAAGACAGGCGTTCAACCACTGGGCCACGCAGGCGTCCCTGATTTCAGGTATTTAAGTTAACATTTTAAATTCCACATGATAAAGTATTCAGTAAATGCTATCTACTATTAAAATAACTGAATAAATCTGCTATGTTATATGCCATAGTTAAAGTTTTTGATTGTGTTGTTATTTCTTGTCTGGAGTTTTTGTTTCGTCACTTGTTAGTGATACCTGCATTTGCTGCCTTATATCTACACCAGTCATTCCGTCAAGCAGAGCACTGCTACTGCCAATGCCTTAGCCACTGTACTCTTCTCCAAAAAACTCAGTGGCTCTTGCTTACTATTATATTTTAAAAACTCTGAGTTACTTCATTTAACTGTGAAAAGCTATCCATTTATTTTTACAAAATAAAACAATTAAGTTAAAAGATATAATACCTTCTCAAATCACATATTTGGCAATAAGAGATCTAGGAAGAATTTGAAACTAACGATTCTGTTACTAAAGAACACTTCATAATCTATAGCCTGAAGACCAAATTTCTTAGTCCAAAGCAGTCACGTCTGTTCTCAACATGACCCCAAGCAAACTTTTCAGCCTGACATCAAGGGACAACTTAAGAAAAATTCTTTAGACAGAGCTTGATTCAAAGTCTTTATATTGCAAATGAAGAAAGCAAAGCTCTCACAAATTATCCAACACTGGGTTCAGAGCAAAGATGGGATGGGGACTGAATACTAAGTCCAAGATCAAGAAGCTGGCAGATTGGGTATCTGGGGAAGTGGACACCTTCTCCTTGTATCTTCACATGGCTGAGAGAGAAATCATCTCTCTAATGTTTCTTATAAAGTTACTTATTAATGAGAGCTTTACCCTTATAACCTAACTACTTCTCAAAGGTTGCCCAGTTTCTAACACCATCATATTGGAGGTTAGGATTTCAACATATGAGGGCAGCCCAGGTGGCTCAGTGGGCAGCCCAGGTGGCTCAGCGGTTTAGCGCCACCTTCAGCCCAGGGCCTGATCCTAGGGATCCGGGATCGAGTCCCATGTCGGGGTTCCTGCATGGAGTCTGCCTATGTCTCTGCCTCTGTGTGTGTGTGTGTGTGTGTGTCTCTCATGAATAAATAAATAAAATAAATTTTTTTAAATCTTAAAAAAAAGGATTTCAACATATGATTTTTGGAGGAGGCAAACATTCAGTCCATCATAGTATGTGTAGATCCAAATAAGGTCTTATTTGTAGAACCAAATAAGGTCTCCGCTAGATTTCAAT